GTTTCCCCCCCCAGCCTGGCATCAGCTGCTCTGGGACCCCCAAAGCCCCCCCACCAAAACCTCCCCCCGCATCAGGGCCTGACCCCGGCTTCCCTGCAGGGCCCTGAGGTTGGTTGAGCCTCCCCAGGAACCCCCGGCTTGGGCACAGCCCCCATAACCCCCCAGGCCCAGGTGGGGGGGGGGTCCCCTTTACTGGGTCTGTGTGTGTGTGTGTGTGTGTGTGTGTAAATCTCGGATGCCTGGGTTCTCTGTGTGGGGTTGTGGGTGTAGACCCCCCTCCCTTCCCTTTCCTCTGCAGTCCCTCCAGATTTACTGCAGGGGTGTGTGTGTGTGTGTGTGTGTGTGTGTGTGTATGTGTGTAGGGGTGTGTATATAAGCCTGGGTTGTGTGTGTATGGGGTGAGTGTGTGTGTGTGTTGTATGGGGGGATGTAAGGCCTGGGGGGTGTATAGGGGTCTGTGTGTGTATAGGGATGTGTGTGTAAGCCTGGTGTGTGGTGGGGGATACTTAGGTTTTGCATGTATGTGTGTGTTAGATGCCTGGTGTGTGTGTGTGTGTGTGTGTGTAGGAATGTGTGCATAAGACTGGGGGGGGTGTCGGATACCTGGGTTCTGTGTGTGTGTGTGTGTGTGTGTGTATAGGGATGTGCGTAAGCCCCGGGGGGGGTGTCGGATACCTGGGTTCTCTGTGTGTGTGTGTGTGTGTGTGTGTGTGTGTGTGTAGGGGTGTGTGGTGTGTGCGAGTGAGATCCTGCATGCAGGGCTGTGTGTGTGGCTGCGTGTGTACGGTTGGGAACATGTGTGCAAAAATGTGTGGTTGTGTGTGCCTCTATATATGCGCATGGTGTGTGTGTGTGTGCCCCCACTCCCTGCTCAGGCCCTGCGGGGGGTGATGCTGCCTCTCTCCTGCATCCCGTTGCTAGGAGACAACCCCCTGTCCCATCCCCGGGCTCACCTGGGCCTCCCCGTGCAGGCCGGCGGAGCGGGGGCCGCCCGGTCTGTCCCCGTCTCGGTCCCTCCCGGCTCCGCCCGGCGCTGCGGTGAATCCCGGGCCCGGAGCCAGGGGGGGCTGCGGCTCGGGAGTGAGGGGCGCCGGCAGGGCTGGGGGAGAGGGCTAGGGGTCGGGAGAGAGGGGCACCGAGGGTATGGGGGGGTCTGCGGCTCGGGAGTGAGGGCCGTCAGGATGGGGGCAGGGGGGTGGGGGTTGCAGGTCGGGGCTGAGGGGCACCGCCCCAGTCCCCTGCCAGCCCGCAGCAGGATGCGGTCCCTGAGACAGCTCCAGGGCCTGATTTCCATGGCAACAGCCCCCCCACCCAGCCAACCACCTGCATCGGATTTGCATTTTTCATGAGCTCCCGGCGCTGCCACCCCCTCCCCCCCTGCAGGAAGCTCCTGAGCCACAGCTGTTCTTCGTGGCCAGAGCCCTCCCCAGAGGTGGCTGCAGCTGGGCCCGGAGCCAGGTCCCCCCCAGCCCAACTTGGGCCTGTTCTCTGCAGTCGAGGCCTGGCTGCACCACCCCAGAGCTGGGCGCAACCTGGGCCTGGAGCCCCTCATAGCCCCTTCCCTTCCCTGCAGGTTACAGAGACCCTGGAGACCCCTTCAAGTATGGTGAGTGGGGGGTGGCGGCGCATGTTGGGAGTGAGGGGTACTGGCAGGGCAGGGGGGC